AAAAATCAGAGTTAACATTTCGGATCCGGTGACCCTTCCTCAGAACAGTTCTCAGGAAGGGTCACCAGACCCGAAATGTTAACTCTGATTATTTCTTCACAGATGCTGCCAGACCTGCTGAGCTTTTCCAGCAACCTCTGTTTTTGTTCCAGATTTACAGCATCCGCAGTTTTCTACAAGGAGTCTGTCCACAAGGCCGTAGCTTGCAAGATCTGGATTCCTTACAATTCATAATTGTATTTCTGACACTTCTCTCAGGCCACAATGAGGCGGTCTCAAGTCTCCTATGGTTCTATGCAACTCATCAAGACTCGTTCCACAGCATCTTCTAAACTCACAATCTCTACCATCTAGAAGGACAAGAGCAGTAGATAGCTGGAACACCACCACCAACAAGTTCCTCTCCAGGCCACTGACCATTCTGACTTGGAAATGTATCACCATTACTTCACTGTCACAGGGTCAAAATCCGAGAACTTATCTCTCTCGTGGTATTATGGGTGTTCCCACATCCCAAGGACTGCAGTGGTTTAAGAAGGCAGTTCACCACCACCTTCTCGAGGTTAATTCAGGATGGACAGAATGATATTGGCCCAGTCAGCAACACCCACATTCTGCAAAATGGTTTTTAAAAGGCTTACCTTGTCCTTACCAGGTAAAATGCCACCCTGCCCCTTATATCAAGCATTTCCATTGGAACAAGGTTTATTTCTTTATCATGTCTAATAACTGGAAGGCAGGATGTGATGCTTGACTAACCCAACAATGGGTGCATTTAGAAATATTTCCATTTATCCCATGGTAAAAAAATACCACTTCAGTTTCTGTCCGGAGACTGTTCACATCTGTGTATTTCTAATCAATCTATTCAGATGTGTTATTACACAACCCTGGAGCAAATGCCAAATGTGAATCCAGGTCTCCTGCCACAAGAGCTGTTCCAGAGATTTCTCCTCATATAGCTAGCCATTTGGATGCAAAATTGACTCAAAGGTAGAAGACAGAGGGTGGGATGGAAGATTGCTTTTAGGACTTGAGGCCTGTGACCAGCGGTGTGCTGCAAGGATCGGTGCTGGGTTCACAGCTTTTTGCTATTTATACAAATGATTTAGATGTGAACATGGGAGCTATGGTTAGTACGCTTGCAGATCTCACCAAAATTGGTGGTGTAGTGGACAGTGAAGAAGGTTACCTCAGAGTACAATGGGACCTTGATCAGATAGGCCAATGGACCAAGTAGTGGCAGATGGAGTTTAATTTAGATAAATGTGAGATGTTGCATTTTGGTAAAGTAAATCAAGGCAGGACTTATATACTTAATGGTAGGGTCCTGGGCAGAGTTGCTGAACAAAGAGACCTTGAAGTGCAGGTTCATTGTTCCTTGAAAGTGGAGTCACAGGTATACAGTGTAGTGAAGAAGGTGTTTGGTACACTTGCCTTTTATTGGTCATTGTATTGAGTATAGGAGTTGTGAGGTCATGTTACAGTTGTGCAGGGCTTTTGTTAGGCTTCTTTTGGAATACTGCATTCAGTTCTCGTCTCCCTGCTATAGAAAATATGTACTGAAATTGGAAAGGGTTCAGAAAAGATTTACAAGGATGTTCCCAGCTATGGAGGTCTTGAGCTATGGAGAGAGGCTGAATAGGCTCGATCTATTTTCCCTGGAGCATAGGAGGCTGAGGGCCTTATAGAAGTTTACGAAATCATGACGAGCATGACTCTGGCGAATCCAAGAAGTTTTTGTTTTTTTCTTTATTCATTCATGGAATGAGGTCATCACTTGTAGGTAGCATTTATTACCCAGGGGGCATTTGAGAGTCAACCACATTGTTGTGGGTCTGGAGTCACATGTATGCCAGACCGGTAAGTTTCCTTCCCTAAAGAACGTTAGTGCCAGATAGGTTTTCCCAACAATCAGTGACAGATTCATGGTTATCTCTAGATTCTTAATTCCAAATTTTTTTATTGAATTCAAATTCCACTATCTGCCATGGCAGGATTCAAACCTAGAATGTTACCTTAGTCTCTCTGGATTAATAGTCCAGCTATAATACCAGTAGGCCATTGCCTCCCCTAGGGCATAGGTTTAAGATGAGAGGGGAAAAAATGTAAAAGGGACCTAAGAGGCAGCTTTTTCATGCAGAGTGCTGCATGTATGGAATGAGCTGCCAAAGGAAGTGATGGAGGCTGGTACAATCACAACATTTAAAAGGCATGTGCTTGGGTACATGAATAGGAAGGGTTTAGAGGAATGTGGGCCAAATGCTGGCAAATAGGACTAGATTAATTGAGGATATCTGTTCAGCATGGATGAGTTAGACCGAAGGCTCTGTTTTCGTGCAGTTCATCGCTATAACTTTGTAGACATTTTACAAATTGTGTTGGCAAGCAAGTTTTTTTTTTAGAAGAGGTGAGACTTTTGCAGCAATTGCTTAATTATTTCCTGAGACAATTGTTTCTCCTCCCGTTTCAGTCAAACACAATAAATGGTATGTACACAAAAAAGCATGGCTGCTGTATTGCAATAGGATGAATGCCACACTGCCTCTCTCAGGGGCACTCTGGCTTTTGTGTAGAACAGAATGGATTCCAGGGGTCTCTGGAGTGACTGAGAACTCTCTGAAAGCAATACAGCAGCACTGCTCCTTCAGATGCAGCCTCCAAATAGAAGCAGGAGGAGTTCTTTCAGTCTTTCCAGCTAAGTTTCAAAAAGGATGCTTGTGTAACCATTACAATCTTGACCTAAAGGAATTTGGATGATCTCTTGAAAGAAATAAACTTGCAGGGCAATGGGAACAGAGTAGAGGAATGTAACTGACTGGGTCGCTCCAGAGAGAGCAGGGTGGTTTCAATGGACTGAATGGCCTCCTCCTGTGCTGTGATGATTCAATTTATTCTAATTACAGCACACGATTAAATCAGGTGAATTTTTAATATCTTGTGCACCTGATTGTTCAGACTGAAAGGGAATGGGGATATGCTGAGGATGAATTGGGAGACACAGGGATGGAACCTGGTGTACGTCGGGAACTCGGTATTGCACCATATAGAGAGTTGGTGGTAAAGGTGACGGACCATCTAAGAGGTTGCAGGGCAATTGTAAAGCTATGAGTGCAGAGATATTGTAACTGTTAAGACCTGTTTTGAAAGTCAAATGGTCTCTTTTTTTTTTCAATTACTGACAACACGCTGTTGTGAAGAATTCTTATTTATCAGGGGTCAAAACGGGGAAGGAAGTCAGCCAGTGTATTAATCTGTCCTCACTCCACACTGAAAGGCTGATACCATACTGACTGTCCAATTTGCCTCCTTCGTGCATCGTTGCGCAATGGAAGTTTGCCTGAACATCACAAAGTCCGAAGACAGTCCATGGCACAGGTCGTGTGTCCGAGGCCATTGACTCCTACAAAAAATGCCAAATAGAAAACTATGTGCGGAGACCTGCTTATTCAGTGGGACAATGTCAAGTGGTTCAGGAGTGGGATGGTCACAGAGGGTGAAACACCCTTTGGGGCAGAATGAGGGGCAAATTCCAGATCTTATGTCCCAGACGCTGATGGCCTGGCCCCCAGTGTTGGAGTCATTGAAGCGAGAGATGCTCAAGATGCAGAACTAGATATGCATCAATGTTCCAGAGAGCTTGTGGGGCTGGAGGAGGTGACACAGAGGAGAAGCCACAGAGTATTTAAGGTTGAGAATTTGGAGTTTGGGAAAATGTTAGACCATGAGTCAGTGTAGGTCAGCGTTGACTGGGGTGGTGAGGGAATGGGACTTGGTGAGAGTTAGAATACAAGCAGCAGAATACTAGGTCATCTCACAGAGGGTGGAAGATGGCAGAGGGAACGTTGCAATATTGGAGTCTGGAGGAAAGAAAGGCTTGTTTTATGGTAAATGTGGATAGATGAGGATGGACAATATGACATAGGCATATAATTTTGATGATGGAGAGGTCATGGGCTACTTTATTCATCACCAGATCAAGTAGGAAACCAATTTGCATTCAACTCAGAAAACAATGATCCTTAATTGGAAAGGTTTGCCAGTGACGTTAGGCTTTTTAACAGAGTTGGAACTGATACGTATTGTAAAGTATAGTGAAGGAGTGTAGTCAAACGTGATGAATAAATCTTATCATCAGTCTCCCCCTAGATGAAATTGGTAGATGCACTCCTTGATAATCTTAAAATGACCAATTATAATTATTAATTTGATGTTTTTTTTCCCCTTAGTTTTACCCCTGCAGGAATAATGGAATGTTATTAATGATTCTAACTCCAAAGCACCATTAATGTTGTTGCTGTTGGTCGCTGTATGTTTACACTCTCTCAGTTTATCATTAAACAAATAGAGTGAAGTGTTTATCTGGGATATGTGGTTAATGAGTAGAAGATCAATAAATTTCTTGGGGAAAGAATTATGTTGACTCAAAAGAGGGAAGGCAAGAAGAAATTCTATAGCCCTCCTTATATATCGATATATTTCACATAAGATTACACAGCAAATTTGACAGAAAAAAAGACCAGGAGAGGCTAGATGGGTTAAAATTGTCCTTGTTTCAGGTCAATAAGAACAGAAAAGACAACTAGCTGCTTTTGTTTTCTTTGCTTATTTTACTTATCTAGGTGATTACATGCCTGCGAGGATCTGGGGAGGGGGCAGGGTGGCAGGGGGTGGTGATGGTGTGTGGGGTAAGATGGGGTAGAAATCCAGTAAGAGGCCACAACAGTGACTGGAGTACACATTGGGCCAGTTGCTGCTTTCGTGTGGACAAATCACAAAATGGCAACAGCACCAAAAGAGGCCATTCAGCCTATCATGTCTTAGCCAGCTCTGTGCCCATTCCTAGTTACCCTGGATAAGGAGGTGGTTGGCCTTGTTGAATTATTGCAGGCACTGGAGTGTAGGGGCATTCATAGTCAGTGAATTCTTGTTCTTGATTTGTTAATTATGCCTTGCAATATCCCTGATAGCAGGTGATACATGTAGATAAACCTCCTTATCCATCATCCTGCAGAAGGTAACGGAAGTCACTGCAGCATTCTGGCCATAAGCACGGACCAATACACTGAAGTTGCATGACGCAAGCCTCATACATGTGGGTGGGAGAAAACATGGTCCTTTACTTATAAAGGCCCTTATCCTTTTGGAATATTTTTCAATTTAACTTATCACCTTCACACACATATGCTCCGAAATCTCTCTCGCTCCTGCATTCGCTTTAAAATCATGCCCTTTAATTAACACTGCCTCTACTCACCCTTCCTGCTAAAATGTATAATTTCACACTCCTTTGCATTCACTTCCATCTGGCACATGCCTAACCATTAAACCAGCCTGTCTATGTCCTCTTGATGTCTATCATTAGTTCAGCTCACATTACTCCCATGTTTTGAGTCATCTGTAAATTTTGAAAGCGTGCCCCGCACAACCGTTTTTAGATGCATGAATGTTTCCAAGGTTTTGGTCTGTGGAAGTGCAGACCCATGGAAAACTGACTCACTCAGTCGTGCACTCAGCAAAAACAATAACTCAAGAGAGCAACATGAAAAAATGGTTCACTTCTGACATCTGTAATATAAAACTGCTCACCCATTACCCTTCTCATTTCTGTTGACACCACCAGATAGCACTGATACCTTTTCTCACTGAGCTCTTTCAGTGAGATCACCTGATTGAAGCTGGATTCGTACAGAGATTGAATGAGTTCCATGCTGTTCAGCTGCAAACTCTTTAATAGCATCTCTGTTGTGATTTAGAGAACTTGTCAAAAACAAATATTTTCAACATCATCCTGTCAAATGATTTATGTTCACGACTTTGTAATGCAATTAATTCTTTTCAGTTGCACAGTGGTAAATGCAGCATTTCAGCTCATGCCATTCTCTTGTCAATTAGTTTTGAGTCTAAAACGTGCTTTCGGCAAGGCCTATTGAGGGTTGTGATTGATTGCTTATGTGTCTGTGTGTCACTCAGAATAATAACAAGCATATCTCATCTGCTAGAAATAAACTTTGAGAAGTGTTAGTTTAAGAGAGAGGCCGTTCCTGATACAACACTGATTTTTGTGTCTAAAGCGCTGAAAATTTTCAACTATTTATTAAAATCTCTCCTTAACCTTCACCAGCCGCCCCTTGTAACCACTTTGGTTTCCTCCTTTAAGTGTCACTGAAGTAGTACACTGGAAGTCAAGCCCTACCGGTGTCATCACAAAGTTGTAAGTTATAAAAGTACACAAAACTCCCCAATTCACCTGTTTTTTAGAATCAGATTGACAGGATGCATGAACTGTTTCTAAATTTAACAACAGTTATGATTTATTGCAAGTAAATAGATTCTAGCTCCAAGTAAGAAGTGACAAGGAAGGTTGATGACGACAGAGTGGTAGCCATTGCCTGTATGGATTTCAGCAAAACGATCAACAAGGTTCTGCATGGTAGACTGGTTAATAAGGTGAGATTGCATGGGATCCAGGGGGAGCTAACCAATTGGATGCAAAATTGGCTTGAAAGTAGGAGACAGAGGATGATGACAGAGTTTTTTTTGGACTGAAGACCTGTGACCAGTGGTGTGCCATGTGGATTGGTGCTAGGTCCACTGCTTTTCACCATTTATATAAATGATTTGTATGTGAATATAGGAGGTATGGTCAGTAAGTTTGCAGATGACACCAAAACAGAGAACAATGGACAGTGACAGTGAAAAAGATTATCTCAGAGTGCAATGGGACCCCAATGGACTGAGGAATGTCAGATAGAGTTTAATTTAGATAAATGTGAGGTGTTGCATTTTGGTAAGGCAAACCAGGGCAGGAGATATACCATTAATGGTAGGGTCCTGGGAAGTGTTGCCAAAGTGTGCAGATGCATACTTCCTTGAAAGTGGAGTCTGCAGGTAAACAGGATAGTGAAGAAAGCATGTGGTATGCTTGCCTTCATTGGTCAGAACATTGAGTATAGGAGTTGGGACGTCATGTTGTGGCTGTACAGCACATTAGTGAGGCCTCTTTTAGAATATTGCATACAATTCTGGTTGCCCTTGTTGTTAAACCTGAAAGAGTGCAGAAAAGATTTACAAGGATGTTGCAGGGACTGGAGGGTTTGAGTTGTAGGGAGTGGCTGAATAGGATGGGGCTATTTTCCCTCGAGTGTCAGAGGCTGTAGGGTGACCTTACAGAGTTTTACAAAATCATGAGGGAGGTGGATAGGGTGACGAACCAAGGTCTTCTTCCCAGGGTGGGGAAGTCCAAAAGTACAGAGCATAGGTTTAAGGTGAGAGAGGAAAGATTTAAAAAGGACCTGAGGGGTAACCTTTTCACACAAGAGGGTGGTGTGTTAACAGAATGAGCTGACAGAGGAAACAGTGGAAGCAAATACAATTACAACATTTAAAAGGCATCTGGATGGGTAAATGAATAGGAAGGGTTTAGAGGGATATGGGCCAAATGCTGACAAATGGGATTAGGTCAGATTGGGATGTCTAGTCGGTGCGGTTGAGTTGGTCTAGAGGGCGTGTTTCTGTGCTATATGATTCAATGACTCTATGAGGTAAACAGTGAACAGTAAATCATAGAGTCCTTAAAATGTGGAAACAGGCCCTTTGGCCCAATAAGTCCACACTGACACTCAGAGCACGCACCCAAACCCATCCCCCTATAACCCACCTAATGTACAATTCCCTCAACACTGCAGGCAATTTAGTATGACTAATCCACCTAGCCTGTACATCTTTGGACTGTGAGAGGAAACTGGAAGAAACCTGTGCAGACACAGGGAGAATGTGCAAACTCCACACAGACAGTCACCTGAGGGTGAATTGAACCCAGGTCCCTGGCACTGTGAGGCAGCAGTGCTAACCACTGTGCTACCCTTAAAACAGCAATTATTTCATCCCCGGATGGTCTCAAACCACCAACCTTTTGATTAACAGCCGAACGCGCTAACCAATTGTGCCACAGAGACTGGCAAATAGTCAACACTTAACAATTAGCTCTTCTTTTAAACCACTCCCACCCCCCACCCTGCCACGCACCTCCCCCCCACCCCACCACCATCACCACCCACACACACAAACACACAGACAGAAACAAGAAGTATGGCTGTTATGAGTGAAGGGGAAAACAGGGGACTTTCACTGTGTGCAGGGGGTGCATGGTGGCTGTTTCACACTTACAAAGTCTCTGACTTACTGGTTCAAAACTATCCCTTACTGTAACTGATGAGGAGAAATAAATCAGTTTTCTTCAGTTTTAATGTGCTTTTATTTTACTGTGGAGAAAAGTAAATCATCTTCTTTTCTAAAGGAATAATTGCTCACAAGACCAAAAGACTTAGGAGCAGAAGTAGGCTATTCAACCCATCGAGTCTGCTCTGAAGTGCAATGAGATCTGATAATACACAACTCTACCTTCCTACCTTTTCCCTATAACCCTGGATTCCCTTACTGACCTTAATCATGGTTTTGATCAAAAATCCACATTCTCAAGCTGTTCAGCCAATCACATGCTTGTTATTTGTCATCAATGACTAGTCACCATTCTATAAACCAACCAGTTACTTGTTGCTGGCTGAATGCCATGTTGTACACACTCCACGGTTCCAGCTCATCTGCAATGGACCCTTTCTCACTGCTTTGAACAAACAGCAGTGTAAGCAGCACTTGCATTGAGAGTCAGTAATTTGCAAAATACAAAGCGCAGTAATCCCCTCAATAACCCCTGGATTTAAAACAGTCTTTTTTCTATCTCAACCCACAACTAAATATACAGATAAATTGAAAGACGTGATCTTTAAAATCAACCACTTTGACAAAACACTTTTTCACCTGTCCTAATTTTTCATCTTAGCTGTGCCTCACAGTCAAAACTGGATCTCATTCGTGATGCTGTTACATATCATGGGTTATTTTCTTCTTTGTTATTTCACAGAATGTGGATATTTGTTGCCCCACCTTAATTACCCTTGCCAAGTCATTTCAAATGGTAGATAAGATTTAACCACATTGTTGTGGATCTGGAGTCACTTGTTGGCCAGACCAAGTTAAGGACAGAAGATTGTAGAGTTAACATTTCAAGTCTGGTGACTCTCCAGAACTGTTCTGACAAAGGGATGTTAGCACTGCTTTCTCTCCACAGATGCTGTCGAACCTGCTGAGTTTCTCCGGCAATTTCTGTTTTTGTTCCAGATTTCGAGCGCCCTCAGTTCTTTACTTAATTGAAGGAGAGAAGATTTCCTTCTCTCAATGACACTGTTG